CCTGGCCTCCACCCGCGCTTTCCAGGGCTCCAAGGAGCCGCCGTGGCCCAGCGTGGGCCAGTACCTGCGGGCAGAGATCGCCCGGACGGTCCCCACGATGGCGGGGGGCCAGGAGGATGCCCGGCGGCTGCAGCTGGCCGTGCTCGCCGCCTGCCTCAAGCTGGAGTGCTGCATCAGCGGGACCCACAGCATGGACCTGGTGGGCCTGGAGCCCTTCGGGGAGTACGTGTCGCTGCCCGGCCTGGACTGCACCTTCCCAGGGTAAGCGCGGGGCTCCGGAGCGGGACGCGGAGGAGCGTTCCAGGGGCCGCCGCGTCTCCAGCGGTGACTCCTCCCACAGTGGCTACAGCAGCTTGGCCGAGCGCCTGCTCTCGGACCTGCCCGAGGGCACCGTCCTGCTCAACAAGGCAGTGAGGAGCATCCAGTGGCAAGGGTCCTTCCGTGAGGAAGGGGACGGTGCCAGGGTTTTCCCCGTCCGGGTGGAGTGCGAGGATGGAGATGTCTTCCTTGCTGACCACGTCATCATCACTGTCCCGCTAGGTGAGGACACCAACACCTTCCCTTGCCCTGCCCGTCCCCTCCGACCAGCCGGATGATGGGTTGGAGACGGGCAAGTGGAGGGGAAGGATTGCCTAAAGCCCTTCCCAGCCTCCCCTCTCCCACTGGGAATAGGTTGGAAAGGGGTTTTGGGGAGGTCAGAGCATCTCAGACACCGTTTAGGAGCCCAGCTGAGAGCTGCCCCGTTGCCTGCCCAAACTCGTGGCTGCAGGTTTCCTCAAGGAGCACTACCAGGAATTCTTCCAGCCTCCCCTTCCCGAGCGGAAAGCACAGGCCATTCGCAACCTGGGATTCGGCACCAACAACAAGATCTTCCTGGAGTTCGAGCAGCCTTTCTGGGAGCCCGAGCAGCAGCTCCTGGAAGTGGTGTGGGAGGACGATTCGCCCCTGGAGGAGCCCAGCACTGACCTGGAAGCCAACTGGTTCAAGAAGCTCATCGGATTCGTGGTGCTCCAGCCGCCAGAGCAGTAGGTGGCTGGGGATTTTGGGTATCCTCCCGCCCTTCTCTGGGCCGCTGGTGGGCACGGGGAGGGGCAGCAGCTTTCAGCCCCGCATTCCCGCCCCAGGCACGGGCACGTCCTGTGCGGCTTCATCGCGGGGAAGGAGTCGGAGCACATGGAGACGCTGAGCGACGCCGAGGTGCTCAGCGCCATGACCCGCGTCCTGCGCACGATGACAGGTGCCTGGGCCGCGCTCCCCGCCCGCCCACTGCCCCGGGGCACTTCCCGATGCCAGC